ACTATGTGACCCTGTGCGAGTCCCTTAACACTATTTGCCTCAGGTTCCTCATCTGTAAAATGAGCTAGAGAAGGAGATATCAAACCACTCCAGTGTCTTTATGAAGAAAACCCCAAATGGGGTCTCGAAAGAGTCAGACATGGCTGAAAAATGACAACAGCAATGCAAAAGGCTTCTGAATAGTCTATAAAACTTTGGCCTATTTTTCAACATATTTTTCATCATCCTCCCCTATGCCCAAATTCTTATTGAAGTCAATAAGATTCGAAGCCTGTGCTGATTTGGTTTGGAGGATATTCTGCAGTTTTTCCTAGAGCTTCTTGTTCTCTGCAGCACATGATGGTACATTATCTTCAGGGTGGTCAAGCATCATCTTTTGTGAATCATGAATGCTACAATATTAAATGACCAAGTGTCCCGTGAAATGATGTGCTTCATTGTCTCTAGGCACACAATGAGAACAACTCTGCCAACTTCTTTGTTTTTCTTTCCTAGAAGAGAGCCCATCTTCTACTCCATTTGGTCTTCTGGTTTCATTTATTACAAAATGATCAATATTGATGTGGTTTGGTTTTTCCAATAGTATGTCAACTTGATCATTGGACAAAGTTGCTAGAGTAACAGTCCCTACAGCTAAAAAGTTAAATGTTTATACACTTTCTAAAACTGCCTGGCTCTTTGTACCCCATACTACTCTTCTTCTGAAGCTCTACCCATATCACAGCAGAAGCAAGACGGAGCTGCAATTACAAGACCCAGGGACATCTTGTAATTTTCTTTGTTTCATGGGTTTCCATAACTAAAGAATCCATCACTTGCTGGCCAGTTTAATGGTCATGATACTCTTGGTACTTAGCTAGGCTGGTCTTTGGACACTGGCCAGTCTCTTGCTGGGACAGTGCTCAGAAGTTTTCCAAAAATGGTTGGTCATGCCAGAGCCCGTGGTCCATTGGCATTGTTTTCAAGAACTTAGCATCACCTCCATGCCATGATGAGGCATAAGAGTAGGAACTGGGCTTTGTTGAGTTCCAGAGACCATAATATCTCTCTCCATCTCTCTTTCTCTCTTCAGATAACTGTAATAGAATATATACTTTCTTTTTAACTTCACTATCTTTCATTTTGTATCACCATTTTTCCAAATATATATCCCTTCCTTTCCCTTCCTTAGAGATACAGCCCTTGTAACAATTAGTTATAATGAATTATAATTAATTTTGCATGCATATATGTATATGTGTGTATATACATATATATATATATATATATATATATATATAGAGAGAGAGAGAGAGAGAGAGAGAGAGAGAGAGAGAGAGAGAGAAACAGAGTCAGAGACGGAGTGATACCCACAGAGACAGAGACACAGAGAGAGATAGAGACACACAGAGAGACAGACAGAGACAGAGTCAAGGAGAGAGAGAGACAGAGAGAAGAGAGACACATAGAGACACAGAAAGACAGAGAGATAGAGATAGAGACAGAGGCAGAAAGAGACAGAGACAGACAGACAGAGACAGAGATATTGTCAGGGAAGGAAAGACAGAGACACAGAGTGAGATAGAGACACACAGAGAAACACACACACACACACACAGAGGCAATCCAACAAAACTAAACCAACAAACCATACAACAACCCAGTGTGATGGCGTGTTCAATGTTCTGCACTCATCAGCTCCTCCCTTTGGAAAGATGGGGGTAAGGTACATTTTCTCATCTCTTCCTCAGGGACAAGCTGGGCCTTTATGACTCCCCTGTGTTCACAGGATCACTGGATTTTGAAAGTCAGACCGGACCTCAGCAGGTCTCTCGTCCAATCCATGCACTAGAGGAATCCTCACTATAACATGACTGACAGGTGGGTGGTTGAAGACCTCCAAGTTCAAACTGATATTGTTGCTGTCTCTGGTTTTTTCCATTCACATTTTTGTGTTCTTTGTGCGTGTCGTTCTCCTGGTTCTACTCACTTCACTGAGAGGCTCAGTATTAAAACAACCCTTTCTAAACTGCCCCACCTGACTCCACTGAAAGAAAAGCAGGAGAAAGCCCAGGGTGAAAGAACTCAGATTTATAAGGGCTCTTATTTGTTGCCTGGGCCTCCAGGTTTGATTCTTTCCTCTCCACCAAATCTCCTCTGTCCTTGTGGACATCAATGTATGTGATCGATAATATTACATGCCAAATGCATCTGAGGGATGCCAACATGGTGCCGTGTGACTTAGTGGAAGGGGTGAGAGGAGTCACTTTTTACGATGTGTGCTGAGAGGCAGGCAGTGTGGTCTAGTGGAAAATGACCTCACAACACTCTTTTCATTCTCCCCTTGAAGACTTCAAGTTCTGGTTCTTTCCTCTAGACAGATACAGATACAGACATATATATTATGATACATATTTTATTATGGTTATTCATGACCCCAAGTGTTGGGAACTGAATGTTATTTCTCCTTCTAGGACTGGTTTCGTTCTAAAAAGGAATCCCGGAGAGAGCAGAGGAATGAGCCCATAGGAATGAAGCTTCAATGGCAGAATTTCAGACCAAGGTAGGAATATGGTGGAACCTCACAGGACTGGGAGCCAGGAGTCTTGAGTTCTAGGCCCAGCTCTTCCACTGACTAGCTATATGACCTTGGGCAAGTCCCTTTCCCTCTCTAGGCCTTAGTTTTCCTCTCTGTAAGATGCGGCAGTTGGATTATTTTAGATTACATTCTATGGCTCAGTATTTTGGGTTTCTCATGTGTTACTAAGTAGACAATTGTCTTTCCTTGGGTGATTATGATCAGGGTTGACTCTGGTTAACAGCTTCCCCTGAGGAGCCCCACAGTGTCATTGAGCTGTGTGTGGTGGGGGGTATTCGCCATAGGACACCAGGTGCATATTATTATCCCATCTGAATCTTGGGCCCCATGGCTAGTGTTCTTACCCACAAGGCTGATCTTCTCATCCCTTTCTGAGCGTTGAGGCAGGTAATGGAGCCCTCTTAGCCTAGTGAGAAGGGAGAGACAGGAGGAAGTCAGGAAGGGGTCACTGGGAAATGGAGGGGGCTCCAAAGCGAACTATCAGGCCAAGGGGAAAGTTCTTATTGATTGCTTTAAATTTTTAAAAATATCGCAGAGGTTCTGGGGGCGATGGCTCATGCCTGTAATCCTTGATGGACTTAATGAGGCACTAATATGGTGAATCCCCAGGCTGCCTACGGAGAGGTGAAAGGGCCCAGATCAGGAATGGACTGGGTCACGGCTTCCTTGCTGATTAGTGGTATTGGACCTTTGAGTAAGGCTGCTACAGTTCCATTCTAGGTGAGATCAGGAGACGCAGTATCAAAAGCAAATGAAAGTAAATATTTAAACAAAAACCATAGATAAATAAATAAGCAACCAAGTCAATCAAACAGTAAATAAATGAATACAGACAGGCAATATTATGCAGTGGAAAGAACCCTGGATTTAGAATTCCAACTTTACTACTTGTCAAGTAAGACTTACAAGACCTTGGGCAAATGACTAGAATGTCTCTGGGCCTTGGTTTTCCCATATGTAAGATAAAGGGGTTGGACTGGATGGGTTCTAAGACCCTAGGTGGCTCTAAATTTTGTGTCAATTAATCAGCAAGTATTTATTAAGCACCTACTATATGCAAGCACCTGTTAGACACTGGTGATATACATCCAGAGAATGACGCGGTCTCTCCTCGCAAGGTTCGAAGTCAGTCTGGAAGAGAGGAAAGTCTGGCATGTAAAACATTTGAAAAGAAATACATGGATTCATGCATTCATTTCTGTGAAGTGCAGTGTCTTGTTTTCTACCGTACTGTGATAAACACTAATTACCAACAAGGGGCTTCCAGGTCTAGTCCTGTTGGACCTGCTTCAATGAATAAATAAGCAAATTTTAAATAATTAAATTTAAAATAAGTACACGACTTCTATGTGAATGGAATTTGTCAAAGGAGTCCTTCTATTTTCCCCTTTCCCTTTCCTTTTCCTCTTCTTCTCTTTCTCTTTCTTTCTCTTCTTCTCCCCTTTGGACTCTTCTTTCCCTCTAACGCGTTTATTGAGCACCTCCTGTGTGCAGGCTGTCCTGTGCTTGGCGACAGGGGGATACAAAAATAAATCAGAAAAGAACCCTGCCATCATGTCACTCAAAAAAGTAAAACGAGGCACAAATTACAACGCAAAGTGATACAGAACAAGCGCATCAGAGAAACGTAATCGAAGAACTTTATGAGGCCCAAGAAGAGAAAGCTCATTTACAGTCGGCAGGAATGGGAGTGGGGAGGAAGAGGCAAGGAAGGCATGGTGGGCAATGGAGGGGGCTGGAATATTTGAGCTGGGCCTGGAAGGACTGGTAGGATTTTGGCAGGTGGAGGCATCTGTGAATTAAAAGCTATTTTTTCTTTCCACCCTTCACTGATAAATCGTGGTGGGCGTTTGTTTATTACAAAAAGGTCGGGAGTCTCCCCCTTTGCCTCGGGGTGGGGGTGGAGGTTTCCATTTTTCAGTCCCACCTTGGAAAATTGGGCGTTCTGGGATCTGGAGTGTGACTGGTTAATTCTAGTCTCCTGAGGCCTTCAAGTCACTGGGGATGTCTCTCTGGGACTCTCTGGCCTGGCTGAAGGTTAGTTTGGAAGCCAGGCTCAAATACTGCCTTGTTGCTTCATGGGATCATTTCCTCCCTTTTCAAGAGAAGGATGGGACAGAGCAGCCAACAGGCTTGGCCTCCAGCCGAGGCAACAGGGACACCAGCCTTGGGGAGTGAATGACAAGGGCAGCTCCTTCTGTCCACTCCAACCCTCTTTTCAGGGACAAAGGGGCCTTATATAGGCTGAATGGGTGTTTATCCTGGAGTGAGAGTTAATTTAGTAAGGCATGGGGTGTGTGTGTGTGTGTGTGTGTGTGTGTGTGTGTGTGTGTGTGTGTATGGGGATGGGGGAAACGGGACAGAGAAACAGGTCTCTGGCATTGACCTCTTTCACAGTGTAAATATAACCCCAAAGGTCAAAACCACCCCCTATATTGACTTTAGCTCCACTCTGATTATTTACTGAATTGCTACAAAATGAAATCATCGGGAAAGGAAGAGGCCTTCTCAGAAGAGTCTTCCTCAACCAGCACAGGATGAAGGTATGAAGATTGTCCCCCACTCTCCAGCCCAGGAACAATGGCTTCCCATCCCTATTGAGCCTATCGTGTCCAATTCAGTAAGCTAAAAGGAATTTACATGGCACCTTGGGGGACAGAGAACCTGGGTTCAGAACCTGCCTCTGTGTGACCTTAGATAAGTCAACCTCCCTTGGCCTCAATTTTTTTATCTGTCTAATAAAGGAGTCAGACTAGATAACTTCTGAGGTCCCTTCTGGCTCTAGAACTATGACCTTAAGCTCTTGGGTGTCCAGAAGAATGTCGAATGGATGGGAGCCTGCTATGCAAGGATTGGTTGGAGGAACTGGGGATATTTAATGTGGAAAAGAGAAAATTTGGGTGGATGTGGTCACTATCTATCTTTAAGTCTTCAATATGCTGTAATGGGTTGTAATTGTCCAGTTGTGTCTGACTCTTTGTGACCCCATTTTGGGTTTTCTTGCAAAGATAGCAGAGCGGTTTGCCATTCCCTTCTCTAGCTCATTTTACAGATGAGGAAACTGAGGCAAACGGGGTGAAGTGACTCGCCCAGGGTCAAATGGCTTGTAAGAATCTGAGGCTGGATTTGAACTCAGGAAGATGAGGCTTCCTGACTCCAGGCCTGGGGCTCTAGGGATAAAACTTGCTCTGCTTGGCTTCAGACAGCACTTGCAGAGAGGTATCTGAGAGATAGATTTAGGATGGCTATAAAAAAATAACAAACAAATAAACAAAAAAAACCCTTCTTAATATTTAGAGTGGGTCCTTCCAAACTCAAAGTGAAATAGACTGCTTCATGAGAGAGTGAGTCTTCTATCACTGCAGGTCCTCAAGACGGAGCCGTATGATCAGTCATTGGGGCTCCTTGGTCACCAGCCTCTAACCCATGCCCCTTTGCACAGAGATCCCCACCTTTCTAGCTCCCTTTTATGTATTGTCTTCCCTTATTAGAACATAAGCTCCTTGAAGGCTTATCTCCCTGAGTTCCAGTCCGGCCTCAGACACTTACTAGCTGTGTGACCCTGGGCAAGTCACTTAACCCTGTTTGCTTCAGTTTCCTCATCTGTAAAATGATCTGGAGGGGGAAATGGCAAACCACTCCAGTATCTTTGCCAAGAAAATCCCAAATGGGGTCACAAAGAGCTGGATACGACTGAAATAACTCAACAACAAAGTCTCCCTGTGCCCGTAATGTTCTTCCTTCTCACCTCTGCTACTTGGAATCCTTAACTCTTTTTTTTTTTTTTGGTTAGGCAATGGGGTTAAGTGACTTCCCCAGGGTCACACAGCTAGTGAGTGTTATGTGTCTGAGGCCAGATTTGAATTCAGGTCCTCCTGACTCCAGGGCCAGTGCCCTATCTACTGAGCCACCTAGCTACCCCAATCCTTCACTCTCTTTGAGGTTCAGCTCAAGTGCCACCTCCTAAAAGTCTCCTTCTTGTGAGGCAGCTGGGTGGTCTAGTGGATAGAGTTAGGAAGACCTAACTTCAAATCTGGCCTCAGGTACTAGCTGTGTGACCCTGGGCAAGTCACTTAACCTCTTCCTGCCTCAGTTTCCTCATCAGCAAAATGGGAATAATAACAGCTTCTACCTCACAGGGTTGTTGGGAGTATCAAATGAGTTAATATTTGTAAAGAACTTTGCAAACCTTAAAGTTTTATATAAATGCTAGCTTTACTTATTTATCCTGACAGGTGCCAAAATGCCCAAGGAAAAGCTGGTTTTAGCAGAATGATGGAATCCTAGATTCAGAATATTAGAGCTAGAAAGGTCCTTGGAAATTGTCTAGTCCAACTCTGGCATTTTTTTTTTGAGGCAGTTGGGGTTAAGTGACTTGCCCAGGGTCACACAGCTGGTAAGTATCAAGTGTCTAGGCCGCATTTGAAGTCAGGTCCTCCTGACCGCAGGGCCGGAGCTCTATCTATTGTGCCACCTAACTGCCCCCCTGGACAAAATACCCTCAGGCTCAGAGGGGAAGGGACTTAGCCAAGGTAACTCAGCAAGTCAGTGACAGGGTCACAAAGACAACCTAGGTCTTTTAACACCCAGGACCGACTCTAGCGCTTCCTGCTTCTGGCGCTTGTTAGAAGCCTGTCCACAAGTGGCAGTATAGTGTGGTAGAAAGAAAAGTGAGCTAGGAAACTAGGTCATATCTCTTTGTCATATCTCTTTCTCTAGTAAAAACTCATTGAGCTATTCTTGAGAAGATACCTCTCTGAGCCTTAGATTCATTATTTGTGAAACAGAGAGTGAACTCTTCCTCACAGGCTTGTAGTGAGGATCAGATAAGATAACAAACGTGAAAGAGCCTTAGTTATTACAAATGTAAGAAGTTATGATTGTGTGTGCTTATGGATTATCTATTAATTCCTCACATTTGTATAGTGCACTGTCTCATTTAAAACATTTTTAGGAGTGAAGTGTCTAATTTATTTAATGATTTATTTAAATCATTCAGGACTTCCCAGAGCACATGCATACCTCCTTGCCTATCCCTAGATTTGGTTTCCTTGGAGGGCAGAAGGAATCTGAAACTAGGCTCTGCCCTCAGGGAACTCACAATCTGACTGAGGGCACATAGGAGGAATGGAGCTGGGCCCTGCCCCTCAAAGATCTTAGAGTCTAGGGAAGACAAGACTCATACCCATGAAACAGAAAGAGAACAATTAGGGGTTAAATCATATTGCACTGACTATAATGACATTAATGGGAAGATCAGAGTAGGATGGACTAGTCTCCGGAGACCTGGAATGAATGATGCTAGATTTGGGGCCTTGGTCTAGGGAAAGAGTTGAATGGGGAGAGAAATTAATTTCAGAGAGGGGGAACAGGGTAAGCAAAGCTGGGGAAATGGGCATGGATTTGCTGGGTTCTGGTCCAGTGAGGACAGCAGACAGACTGGAGCAGGGGTGTGTGTCAGGCCAGGTCGGGTCAGGCTGGGGTGCAGGAGAATCAAGAGAAAACATCCCAAGACAAAAGTTCTATTCCTACTGCCTAGGGGTGGTTTCTGGTCTGAGGGCATAGACTAAACTTACGTCACTATACTTTAGTAATAATAAAGTCGGTTGGTGGTACGGCGAATAGAACATTGGACCTGGAGTCAGGAGGACCTAAGTTCAAATCTGGCCTTGGACACTTCCTATCTATGTGACTCCAGGCAGGTCACTTAACCTCTTCTAGCCTCAGTTTCCTCATCTGTAAAATGGGGATGATAATAACATTGACCTCCCAGGGTTGTTGTGAAGATCAAATGAGATAACATACATAAAAGCATATATTAAAGTACAATATAAATGCTCGTTATTGCCAATAATTATAAATATCAAATCTATCCTTTTTAATGAGCATATATCTTTATTGACATTAAGAGTTAATTAAATTATTAATAATTATTAATACCAATACATAGCATTTAAAGTCTGCAAATCCCTTTACTTGCGTTATTGAATCAATGTGGATTTTCTTCCCATTGAGCACAGGTTGAGGAGCTGTGGTCAACAAAATGGCGGCCTGATCTTTTCCCCACTTAGAGGCATTCTTTGGACACTAAATATAGTTTGTCACTAAGCCTTGACTTGAACCCTTTTCACGTGGCTCAAATTGCTAGCGATTTCCCTCTGCTGGCCTGGTCTTCAGGAGCCCAGGGATACTGATAAATCAAGGCGTGGCATGAGAGGAGGGCTTTGCCCAGCCAATGGCCCCTCTGGACAGCACTGGACCTTTGAAGGCTTGTTACAAGTCCTCCAGCTGAGCTTTGATGTTCTTCTCTTGCTGGGGCGCAAGGAGGCAGCTTGATAGCCCACAACTGACCTTGCTGGCTACAAGGCATGATCAGGGTGATGGGATTGTACTTGGACTGATGCTGGGCGTGTGACTTCCATGTCCTGTTGGTTCCCAGGAATATATAGGTCTGTATTTTGGGGGAAAAAAGCTTAGGAAACTATCATCTTAATTCACTTCTTTTACAAGAACATTTATTAACTTAACCAAGGCTAGATGACCCCATTGGGAGGCCCTAGAAAAGTCTCAGGCTGATAATAATAATGATAGTGGTTGTGAGTTCTGCAGTGCTTTATGGTTCACAAAGCACTTTATTATTTATTATTGGACAAGGATGATCATCTTGTTGTTACAGTGGAAGAAACTGAAGACTGGAGCGATGAAATGATTTGCCCAGTGTCACAGAGGGAGTAGGTGCATGTCAGGGACTGGGTTTAGGATTCTGGATGCCAAGTCAAGGGCTTTGAAAAAACACGATGTCAAAAAAATCTAGGTGTCAGACTCCAGCTTAGCAAAAATATTCTGAAAAGCCTTAACCAAAGTGGGGCTTTTGGTAGCTGAAAGTTCAGGACCCAGAATTTGTATGGATTTAAGTCTGATCAGCCACATGTGACTAGGAAGGAATTCAGCTGATAGAAAGAGTATATGGTTTAAATAAAAAAAATTAATGAGCCATTTTGTATCTGCCTGACTGGTTTCATAAATAATTGTACACGAAGAGTGTTTAAGGATGAATGGTAGGGTTTTCTAATTTCCTCGTAAGTTTTTAATGGAAATGACTTTCTTTTAAACATTATTGTTATATTTTGTTTTCATATCACATTTATTTCCAAATTTATTTCTCCCTGCTCCTCTCCCTAGAGAACCATCCCTTATAACAAAAAATTTCAGAAAACCAAGTAACACGTCAACTGAATTTGGTAGGAAATGTGACATCCTAATCCATGGTCCCCAACCCCACAAAGAACGGAGGGAGGTGAATATCTCATCTCCTCCCTAGGGCCAAACTTCTTGGTCATTATAATGACATAGCGTTCTGTTGTTGTTGCCTAGTTCTATTTACATTACTGTGTCAGCCTACATCCCTGTGACATTCTGGACCTCCCCGGCCACTGCTTCCCCATGGGCTGTCTGCTCCATTAGAATGTAAGATCCCTGAGGGCAGGGACCTTCATTTTTATTTCATCCTCAGCCCTTAGCACAGTGCTTGGTATATAGCAAG